GGGGGGGGGGGGGGGGGGGGCACGTGTTATGAAGTTGTTGGGAAAAAATTTGTAAGTTTTCTCTGGTTAAAATGTGTTGGAATTAGACTCTAAAAATTTTTAATTAGCTAATAAGGTGTTTTGAATCTGGGTCATTTGTTTTTAGACTTGGCAGGCTTGCAGACAGAGAGGAGAGCTTCGGCACCCAAAGGTTGGTCAGTTGTTTCTTCTGTTCATAGTTGGGTGTAAGGATCCAGGGAGACTCCCCTGGGCTTCTCTTGCTTGGCCTGATCACCGCAGGTGACACAGGAGAGCACCAGGCCTGAGCTGAGGTCGCTGCGGCCTGTCCTCAGGGGGCGGCAGGCTGGAACAGGGAGTAGGCGGTCCTTTGGCAAAGGGCTTCGGAGCCTGTCTTCGGGGTAGTGGTCACTTGTGGAGGTGGCTCCCGGGGCCCACGGCGGAGCTGGCCTTCCACTTCCCGAGTCCTGGGGATCCTTCTGTTGGGTCTGGAGCCGCGTCAGCTTCGAGTGCTTCGTGCCCACAGGGATGTGCCTGGAGGCGCCGTTCCTAGCGAAGAACCGTGCAGATGGCAAGATTTCATTCTTCCTCGTTGCTGAGTAGTATTCCATTGTATATATAAACCACATCTCTGTCCATTCATCAGTGGATGGACATTTGGGCCCTTTCCATACTTTGGCTGTTGTTGATAGGGCTGCTATAAACATGGGGGTGCATGTGTCCCTATGAATCCTGCCATTTGCAACAACATGGATGGAGCTAGAGGGTATTATGCTAAGTGATGTAAGTCAGTTAGAGAAAAGCATACCAGATGACTTCACTCATATGTGGAACTTGAGAAACTTAACAGAAGACCATGGGGAAGGGAAGGGAAAAAATAGTTTGAAAATAGGGAGACAAACCATAAAGAGACTCTTACGTACAGAAAACACACTGAGGGTTGATGGGGGCGGGTGGGATGGTGGGGAAAATGGGAGATGGGCACTGAGGAGGGCACTTGTTGGGATGAGCACTGGGTGTTCTGTGTAAGCGATGAACCACGGGAATCTACTCCCTAAGCCAAGAGCACACTGTATACACTGTATGTTAGCCAACTTGACAATAAATGATAGTAAAAACAAAACAAAGCAAAAACACAACTAAGAACCCCAAAACCTTCCTTTTGCTGTTGTTTCCTGAGTTTTAGTTTAGATAATAGGCTTTAAAGAACTCAATTCTTTTTTTTTTTTTTTGGTCAGGTTTTGTTCTCCTTCTAAACTGATTAGGTTCAAAAGACTGGATAGATTTGTTTGTTTAAATTTGCCTTGCCTACAGGTGTCCCTACAACAGCTGCACAAGTTACCGTTAAAGCTGCCTTTTAAAGAGTCAGCTATGCCCAAGGGATACAGGAGTACTGATGCATAGGGGCACTTGTACCCCAATGTTTATAGCAGCACTCTCAACAATAGCCAAATTATGGAAAGAGCCTAAATGTCCATCAACTGATGAATGGATAAAGAAATTGTGGTTTATATACACAATGGAATACTACGTGGCAATGAGAAAAAATGAAATATGGCCTTTTGTAGCAACGTGGATGGAACTGGAGAGTGTGATGCTAAGTGAAATAAGTCAGGCAGAGAAAGACAGATACCATATGTTTTCACTCTTATGTGGATCCTGAGAAACTTAACAGAAACCCAT